TATTAGGGCTTCTGGCTGGGGTCTCTTTGTCCTCACAAATGACCAAAATATGAATTTAAAAAGCTAGATTAAAACAATAATATAACTGAGTGTGTATAACCTTTATTCTTTCTGTGGGATAAAGACGTCGAATGCAATGCAGCGGATGGGTACGTGGAAAACAGAAGTACTGAGGCTCAAATATAAAAATAACAGCAATAATTTCCATTACTTCTGATATTGTCCTCTCTGTACCGTATTCCAAATCAAACGGATTGAATGCCTGAGTTATTAACCCTTGTGAAATCCTCCAATGTAAGAATAACCGACTTTGATTTTCCGTAGGTGTTTACAAGAAGGAAGAAGCTCACTTACTTCTGAAGGCTTTCCAAATTAAAGGTCCCGCAGATATTTTTGTAAGCAAGTTTGAAAATGACAACTGGGGACTAGATGGCTATGTAAGTACTTCCTGTGAATGGTCATCACACAGGGACAGAACAGGCACTTAGACCCACGTCCTGTATGTAACCCCACATTCCACCCCAAAGTCTGAACATGGCCATTGCGTAACCGCTCTGACAGTTCTAAAGAAAAAGTCATTCCCAGATAGAAATTTAACAAGCGCCACTAATATCCTTCTTTGCAAGTTAACCATCGTTTGTGTGCCGACTCATTGTCCAACATAAGGGTATGCGGCCTCATGTGATGCTCCCCAGCCAAGAGTGTGTCACAAAGTGAGTTTAACATGACGTAGGTTATATATGAATTCCTGTATCTGTCCCCCTTTACAACCCATGCACATGTTCTCGATTTTACTACCTGTTTCGTGGTGAAAATGAAATAGTGAGGATTTATGTTAGTCCTCGTTCACGTGTGTCTTTTCCAGTTTTTAACTACTGACGTGTCACTGGAAGGAAGGACACAAGACACCATATTTAACCTGTACTATCTAGCTGTGAGAATACAGTTCTATTATGACAGAACAGAGTATTATTAATCCCCACCACGCATTGTTTTTCTCTTCTTCATGCACATCAGGTGTCATCAGGACTTGAAAGGGGAGGATTTACTTTTCAAGGTGACATTCATGGAAAAGACTTCGGAAAATTCAAGCTGGAAAGGCAAGGTAAATGCTCGCATGTTATTTTTTTAAAGCACATGTCAACTTGGCCTTCACGTTATTGTGCTGAAAAGAAATGGAAAGGCCACGACCTTGGAGGAAACATAAACAAAAGTATCGGGAGAGACAACCGTGTTTTACAACAGAACGGAAAAGAAGTGCTGGGCACAGCAGAACCGACAAATACAAAGCTGGAAGAATGCAGTATGTAGGCCAGATATGGAACTAGTATCCTTACTATATGAAGAGATACTAAAAACACGGAGACAGTGAAGCAAAGGTGAAGCTCAATTAAGGAACTAAGTAAACTACATAGCCCGAAGAAAATTAGAAGAGGGACTCGGAGTAACCAAGAAAGCACGGAAAACTCTTTAACTTCTAAGAAACGTATATTATGGCAACAAAGGTTTTCCATTTTTAATGATCAGAACATCAGATTTTTAAAGCAGTTATTCTGGGGAACAGTAGAAACAGACACCAGGGCCCTCCATTCAGGAGGTGTCCAGGCAGAGAAGGACAAGCTGACTCTGCCCAGAGACTCTGCCTTTAGAGATTCCAGCCGGTCAAGTGTGGAAAACTCTTCCTCGTGCACCTCACACGACTATCATAGTTGCTTAAATCAATAGTTTTATGCAATGTGTCACATTTAATAAGAAGCAGTCTATTTCAGTGTATTTCACTAAAGAAGTGAGGACCGTATATTGACGGGGAGAGAGGCGCATGACTTCTACAGGAAGAAAAAGTTTACTGCAGATAGACAGATAGATCCTCCTTCCCTGCTTCCGATCTTTCTCTGCTACTTGATTTCTACCTTAGTTATCGGAGAAAGAAAATATGTGAAAAAAAAATTCACTAGGTTAGACTCTTCCCCCATCTACCAGCTAGTTTTGTAATCGAGGAGGAGTTAGAATCTTCTTGGGCCTGTCTTCATCTGACATCTCAGCGGGGAAGTCCCTTCTGGGTGGTCGGGAAGATTAAGAGACAGCGGAAAGCGTTCACTTTGTGCACGCAGAAGCTCTTTGCACACGAGAGTCGCTGCGGTTGTCACTGCTGACGGGGATGAAAAAACACATGTTTGTAATGCGATTAGCATCCCATTTCTCCTGAACAACATAGACTACTTTATACCCTACTTGTAGAACACTATTAACATAATAATTTGGGGGGAACATTCTATCCATATAGGCTTTGACCTCTGAGCTGCCTTTCAGAGGCACAGGGGTATAATATTTTGTGACGATTATCACTCACGACTCAGTTCATAAGACTCTTACCAAGATACTGAGGGGTTCCAAAGGATACACATACCGACCTGTGTATTATTATATTTAAAATAAAAACTCTACCAAAAAGAGTAATCAATCGTAAACTACTCTAATGCCACCATTCCAAATGCAGTAGCTCCAACTAGAAGAGCTTTAAATTACACTGTGAGCAGTGGTACTTTAAATTGGGCTGTGTTATTTTGAGGTAATGACATAGAGTAAATGCATTGGACCAACGCTAATGATGAGTCAAGTTTGTTCTTGCTCTAAGCCAAAAACCCTAGAGTTACGCGCCCTCCCTTCTCCCCCGGCACATGCTCCAGTAATTCCGCGTAAGGACGCCCCGGGGAGCTGTGCGCCATCCCCCGTGGACTTCTGGGTTCACTCACCCGACAAACCCGGCCTGTACAATCACTGTGCTGTTGCCCCTTTCCTTGCATGACACCATGTCTTCCTAATCCGACAAAATAGCAGCCTGCTTTAGCACGGAATCTTTATTCCCACGTGATGATGAGTTTATTGTCAGGAAAAATAGTTCGCCTCACTAGTTTGGCTAACCCCTATTTTCATGGATGAAAATAAACCGCCTCTTAATCATCTACAGTCAGTAGATAAACGGGAAGACAGTGATCTTTAAATGGATACTAAACCAGCGTGGGTTGAAAGACCACCCTAATGCAGAAACTCCAGTAGGAACCCGAATGATAAATTGGCTTCCCCATTTAAACTGAATCACCCCACCCCCAACCTCACATACACACGCAAACAGTATGGAAGAAAACCAGTGTAAAACATGCATCTGTTAAGCGACTTGTATTCCAGAATACAGAAAGGGCTTTTCAGGTTCAAGAAAACAAAAGCAAATAACCTGACTGAAAAGTCAGCAAAGGATTTGAATAGACCTCTCTCCACGTAGGTACACATGATCGATAAGCAACGAAAAGCTGCTCAACATCACTAGTCATTCAGGAAACATAAACCACAGTGAGGCACCATCTCACAGCACTGGGATGGTGATGGTCATGTGGGTGAGAGGCGGCAAAATTGTGGATAGATTGGAGCTGTCCTACTTCACGGACGGGATGTAACCGTGGTGCAGGTGTTGTAGAAAACAGCCTGGCCGTTCATCAAGCAGTTACACAGAAAGTTACCAAAAGATGCAGCCATTTCACTCCTGCAGGCATGGCCAGCAGAACACGTAAGAACATATGTTTACACAAAACTGTGTGCCCGATGCTTGTAGGAGCATTATTGCCAATAGCCCAGACGTGGAAGCCGCCAGATGTCTGTTAACTAATGAACAGACAAAGCGTGCTATATCCATACAATGGAATGTTGTCTTGAAGACATTATACTTAGGAGGAGGAGCCATGCACACACACACAAAATACACATCATAGGATTACACCCAGGGATGCCTGGGTGGCTCAGTCGGTCGGGCGGCCGACGTCGGCTCAGGTCATGATCTCACAGCTCGTGAGTTGGAGCCCCGCGATGGGCTCTATGCTGGCAGCTCAGAGCCTGGAGCTTCTGACTCTGTGTCTCCCTCTCTCTCTGCCCCTCCCCAGCTCACACTCTGTCTCTGTCTCAAAGGTAAATAAACATTAAAAATTTTAAATAAATAAACAAACAAACAAACCATCCAGAATAGGCAGATTGAAGACACAGACAACAGATCAGTGGTCGCCTGGAGCTAGAGGTCGGAGGGTGAGGATGCTGGGTTTCCTTTAGGGAAGACAGCAGGGTTCTTAAATCGTAACGATGATTATGACACCATGTGCACATACTAAAAGACTGTGGACTGTACCTTTGCTGTATTATTATTATTTTTTTGTTTTCATTACTTTTATTTATGTTTTATTTGTTATTGAAATTGACATGCAACGTTATGTCAGTTTCAGGTGTAGGACACAGTGTTTCCACAAGCCCATTCCTTGCTCAGGGGCCACCACGATAAGTGCGCCCACCATCTGCCAACCATACGACGTTATTTCATTATTGTTCATAGTATATCTTAAGCTGTACCTTTCATCTCTGTGACTTACTTGATAACTGGAAATTCGTGCCTCTTCATCCCCTTTATCTTCATTTCACCCACCCCCCATCCACCCTCCTTCTGGCAACCATGAGTTTGTTCTCAGTTCAAGGGTCTGTTTGTTTTTTGTTTATTTTTATAGTCCACATATGAGTGAAAGCTATGGTACTTGTCTTTCTCTGTCTGACTTATTTCACTCAGCATCATACTATCCAGGTCCATCCACGTTGTCACAAATGACAAGACCTCATTCTTTTTTTTAAATTTTTTTTTATTTTTGAGTAATATCCCATTGTGTGTGTGTGTACACATATATGTATATCATGTACGCACACACACACATATATATATATACGATCTTTGTCTATCGATAGATTTAGATGTACTTTGGGTGGGTACTCTAGTGTATGAAGTTCTTTCAATAGTGATCTTTTAAAAAATTGAATGGCTAGCTTATTCCATGTGAAGAGATGCTTGCCCTCGTTCTTAAGCAAAGATATGTGAATGAGGAACAAATGATTTGTCAGAGCAGCAAGAGTAGAGATAGTATGAAGGAGGAGGGCCAATGGGAGGGGAGGGCAGGGGAGGGGAAGAGGCTAGCGGTTGGATACCACACAATTGCCCAAGTGTTTTGTAGCACTCCTCATGAAATAATGGTTGAAATGAAATCAGAGCACCACTTTGGAGGACAATCTGGTAAGATTTAGCCACGCGAAAAGTTACAAATTCTGTTAGGCAATGATTCTGCTTCATAGAATTTATCCTGTATGTTTAGACTCCTGCTGCTGGGTAGCTACAGAAAAAAGATTTCATTGCGACATTAGAAAAATACTAGAAATGGCCTAAATGTCCTTCAAAGGTAGACTGGCTGAAAAATTTCTGGCATATCCAATTAATAGTATACTATACACCTAAAAAAAAATAAATCTAATTCATGTGTGCTGATGGAAAAATTTCAAAGATGGATGGTTAAGTTGAAAAAGCCAAACACAAAAAATGTATATCGTATTCCCATGTTTTTAGAAAAGTATGAAAGGGAAACAAACGTATATATTAATAGTCCATTGCTGGAAGAACATTATATTATTTGTGTATCTTTTGTGCCATTTTAATGACTATCATGTGCGTGTATTACCCTTTAAATCTTCGAAACGAGAGTAAATACATGAAACTCGCCAGGAGCCCCTGAAGGCGTGATCATTGAGAAGCTCCCAAAGACCTTCTTTTATGTTACTCTGTGTTACGATGGGCAGTCTCTTCGGCAGGTTGATTTTCCACGATTTTATTGATGAGAAGTCCGATGCCTATTATGTTCAAACGTAGACAGTCTTGTCTGTGGATAACAAGAAAGTAACTTCGGTTAATTTAAGCAGAACACAAATTCATTAGATTCACAGAACTACAGAAAGCTGGAGAATGAGGTGTGGTAACTTCATGGAAACTGATAGATGCTGAAGTACCACATGGCAGCACCGTCTTTCACTTGACACACACGTATTGAGCCACTACTGTGTCCTCAGTTCTCTCGTAGGCACTGGGGGTTCAAGAGGAAGTCTAGCCGACGAGCTCCCTTGGCACAGTGCAACTCCTGTCCTAGTACACACAGGTCCTGCTGGACTTGTGGCCGTGTGCCGTGTGCACTGTTGAGGCAGGGAGGTGTCCTGACCTTTCAGTGTCACCGCAAGTCTGTGGAGTGGGTGCCATCTGAGCGGGCTGCCTCGGCGCCCTGTACGGGACATTGTCACCCTGGGCGCTGGCTGTTACTGCTGCACCACTGCTGCTGGACCCACCACCGGGGACACTCAGCATTGTCCTCGAGGCTCCCCAGCCGCCACAGCCGTGGGATGGCTTCCGAGCCACCTCGGTGCTGTGCGTCGGTCACCCCAGTTCACTGCCCAGGGTGGGGGCATCCAATGGGGCGTGAGTTTAGAGAGGACACGTATCTGGCATTTTCCCCTCGCGTGGGGGCTGTGGATGCCTCTGAAAGTGAAAAATTACCTGATCCATGTGTGCTGATGAGGAAGGATCTCAAAGAAATATGGTCAAGTTACAAGAGCGAACATCAATTATCAATTATGTTCACGTTAGAACTTAGGACGGTAAGGAATAGTGCAATGCGGCATCTGCGGATGCGACGACAAGTCGAATTCTTGCCATGGTTTTAATGTGAAAAGAGGATTTTTTGTTTGAAAAGCTATTTGAATATATTCGATTGTTTGCTTACATTCATGGTTTGTGAAAGAAAATGAAACAAAACCTCTCTTGTATTCAACATTCCGTAAATTCTGGTACTACACTTCTAAAAGCAGGTCAGCTTATTTTTCACAATTCTGCTATATCCAGATGACCCCAGTCATAATCCCTCACACACGTGCATTGAGTGAGCTCAAGCGATTAAGCCAAATACATTTCAAATTTTGTGTTATGGGTAAACAGTTTAGATCAAACTTTTTTTTTTTAACATTTATCGATTTTTGAGACAGAGAGAGACAGAGCATGAACAGGGGAGGGTCAGAGAGAGAAGGAGACACAGAATCTGAAACAGGCTCCAGGCTCTGAGCCATCAGCACAGAGCCCGACGCAGGGCTCAAACTCACGGACCACGAGATGATGACCTGAGCCGAAGTCGGACGCTTAACTGACTGAGCCACCCAGGCGCCCCTAGATCAAACTTTCTTATCTGGAAGGAATCGCTTGAGAAGTGTTTTCTAATTTGAGTTTTCATCGTTTGCATCTCTGTCTTGGCCGTGCATCTATTTGACACTCTGTACACGTGGATTATAAATTCATAGTTACGTCACTTTCATGACATTTGAGATGTTTCCATCCGCCTTCCCTTCCGATGGACAGAGATCACGTTTTATCATCCTTCCGTGTCCTCATGGAAACTGGCATGATGACATTGAGCTATATCCTTTTGTTGAGCATTCTTAAACCCTAACGAATTCTGCAATGTACCTAAAATGAAAGAGGTTACACCAATATATTTGCATACGGAGAATGTAATGTCATTTATATAGACCCCTGGAATATTTAGGTAATTTCATCAGCTACCGTTTCGCTGGAGTCTGTGTCTTAGGAAAGGATATAACAGCCAATGGTACCCATAGATACGTCCACATGCATAGACAAAACCATATGGATGCTTTCAGTTTCAGTTTCAATGCAAATGTATCTGACCGAAAGTCAAAGTCACAATGTATGGTGCCCCTTTCGCCTTTCTCACATTTGACACGTGAAATTTTTTTCATGGTTTTCTTGAAGGCCATTAAGGAATAATTCATTTTTTGTAACTTGATCGTTAACAGACGTTAAAATCTTTCAACAAGACTGTCCGTCTATCGATGGAATTCAACTCCTTGGAGGCTCGGGCCCCGTTCATAAAAGTTGCCAGAGGCTTATCTTCCAGTATGAACGCGGGACCTGCAAACTAATTATTCGTTTTGTTCTCCAGATCCCTTAAACTCGGACCAAGAGCCTTCAAATCATTACCACGGCACTAGCAGCGGCTCGGTCGCAGCTGCGATTCTCGTTCCGTTCTTCGCTCTGATTTTGTCCGGATTTGCGTTTTACCTCTACAAACACAGGTACCGTAAAACGCCGGCGTGCTTGCGAGGCCCTGGTCTGGGGAATGCGCACTGCCCCCGGTCACACGCTCCCCACAGCTCCACGGTTCTCTCTCTGACGTTAACGATGCCCACATGGCAAGGCTTTGCTTTGCGTTGTCCGCCGTACTTTTTCAGCAGGGCGACTTCGAGTAATGAACTTTAGGAGAATAAATAGATGGATGAAGAAGTGACATGCTGTGTTTCGTAGTCCACTCAAAGACACAATAAAGGATTACATTTCTACTTTTAAGATCGGTGGACGGTTGTCGGGAACACTGAGACAGCATTTCCACCTTCCAGAAGAAGATTGAACAGAATGGTCTCTGAGTTTTTTCAGCTCCATGAATCTGCGATCTAGAAATTGTGGGTTTATTCCTTTCTTTGAGCTCTCACTATGTAGTAAGAGATATCACATGTTCCATCGCTTGAAAAAGTGTTCTGAATATCTATTAATTTGCATATCCCTGCTAACTGAAACAGGTCAAAATTGCAGAAAAACAACTTTAGTGAAGTAGATCCTTTCCTTGGAGTTAATGTGGATCCCTGCCCCCCCCCCCCAACAAAAAAAAAAGCTGTGGAGGAATTATAAGTCCTTATACATGTTGTCTTTCTCTGGATAATATATTACCTGGATGAACATGGCATATGCCAAACTGTTCTAAAATACTACTTAGAATAGTGGTATTCCCTATATATAATAACAAGAAACTAAGAAAACAAAAGAAAAATAGAAAAAAAAAACCATGATTCTCTAAGATATTAAGGTATGTTAAATGTGGTCTATGTTCATTTATGTGATACAGATATTTCTGTTTAATCCTGGTTTAAAAAAAAAGGAAAATGTGGTGTAGGATTTTTTTTAATGTCTCACAGCATAGCTTCAAATATGTGCTTTCTTATGCTTTGCAAAAATACATAAAAGAGTAGGAATGTCACTTCAAAATTATATTGCTATGTGATCACGTGCATGTGTACACTTTTCCTCTAGTTGGAATGTACTTATTTTAAAAATATAATTCAGTAAAAGGAATCTCAGAAGGTACTTACAGAATTAAAGATTGACACATCTGTATTAATAATAATAATTACTATTATTATATTAGTAAGTTTTAATATATATTGACATAATTATATAATTAAATAACTAATATTATTATATAATTATTAATAATTGTTATTATTATTATTATGGAGAAAACAGTATTCTCTGCATATAAGTCTGGTGAGCCTTATCTTCAAATTTCTCCTTGGGGCTAGTTGAAAATGTAGTAAATGTAAGAAAAGATATCCCGCCACTTTATCCAATAAAACACCATCCTGAGAAGTGCTTCTATTCTTAAATTAAATTAATTCTGTAAATTAAAAGTACATCTTCTTTCGCAAGGTTCTCTAGGAAACATAATACCCTTATAGATACACATACAGTAGGAATTTGTAATTCCTACAAATTCATTTTTGTTTTTTGTTTTTTTAAAATTTTTTTGGCATTCATGTTAACCCCAAGGTTAACATGCAGTTCATTAAAGTTCTTTTACCCCACCTATTGACATTTCCCTGTCTGTAGGGGGGTCTCTGGAAGCCCCCCCTACGGGGGGACCCACGTGCAGGAGTCGGACGGCATCCCCACCTGCCAGTGAGCGTCTCATTGACGCAGCTCCCAGCAAGGCCGACCTTTGTATGTCTCAGAGACAGCTCCCTCCGGCGCGTCTCTGATCCTTTCAAAAGACAGCCCTACACAATTCAGCACTTTTGGTTATATCTTAATTTTAAGATGACATAACATTGGGGAGAATATTCAGTATATATCACAGCTGTAGTCTTTCAACCCTAGAAGCTTCCCTACCACAACGTCCTGTGTTTCAGTATTTGGTGCGTCAGCACAGGAAATGCGTGAGGGTAGATCACAGACCACAGAAGCAGTGGGGAGGGAGACACCATTTGGTCCTTTTGTGAATTTGACCCCTTCCTTCATTCCCACGCTTGTAGGCTGGTGGGATTTAATCTCAGTGTGGCTCTCGCACAATGTCGCCCATCATGCTTGTCATCCGAGAGGCCGCACTGTGTCTAGAACGTGACGGAAGGTTGTCTAATCTCATGGCTCTCATGAGCCATTAAGCCAGTGTGACTGCTTATAGTTCTCAGAATTGGGGGGTTTCTGCGGGAGCAACCAAGCCACGCCCGGTCCCCCAGGCACGTCGTAAGTTCATTTTCCTTGGAGTTATTGCCATGTACCCAGGGAACGCACCAAGCTATGCGTTTTCTCTCCACTGGCTTCTTACCCTCTACAGATGTAAAAGTTCCTTAAGCAGTTGGCTCCACGTTTCTCGAGTTAAAACCTTATTCCTGCTCATTTCTGACTTGCTCTCATTACACTTGGAAGTGTTTCCTCCGTCAGAGCCAGGGCTCCTGACACAGGACTCCCACACGCTTCATTCTCTGCAGTCCTCGGGTCCCATCCAACTCTGTGGGGTTTCCCTGGCAATTTGGGAATGGTGGTGACCCCTGACCGGGGAGACTACACGGGGGATTTAGCCAGCTTTTAACTTCATTAACGTTTGGCTGCATTAGTTTATTCCATTTTGCTACTGGAGCATTTTCAAGTTCAATGTCAAAGACCTCTCCAACTCCTGGGGCAGTTGACAGGAACCTCATTCTGTGAAACGTACATGCTCAGAATTCTCTTTTTTTCTCAATGAACGTAACGTAACGTAAGTTAAGAAAATTTACTAGCTAAGTCACTAAAACAGAAGCATCAATAATGTTTTTGCTAGTGTGGTTGTTGACATTAAAGTTGGGTTTTTACCACCTGATGTATTTGCCTTATATAATTTCTCTGGGAAAAAAAACCATGGGGGAACAGACTAGACAGCTTTAAGTCTTTTACATCTAAAATTACTTTAAATTCTCTAAAGTTAGATCATACACAGGGGGTTTCTTTAATTAGAACCTGTAACCAGTAGTTTGACAAACAGTTGAATGTCTTTTCCATAACTTAGTCACTGGTTATATTATATTACAAGAATAGCTAGTATTTGGTGAACATTATAATAGCAGTGAACTGAAGTTTATGTTCCTATTTTCGATTGATCTGAACGGTCCTAAAGGGTTGACATCTTGATTCAGCATCTTACGTTTTAGAGAGTGACTGAACAGTGACTTTCTCAGGGTCATAACAACTTACAAATGACAAATGTCTAAACCAAACTCGGACCCCGGCATTGATGAGTTTCCCATGTTGCAAAGAATATTTGTAAATGGCAGCTAACTCTTTGATTTTAGAAACAGCTTCCATTTTTTTTTAACCGTCTCTGTAATCCCAACAACCAATTCTAAAAAAGAGAAAGGTCTGCGAGCGTGGCGACGCGCACCCTTCCCCACAGCCGTGTGTGTGTGTGTTTCCCTGCTGAGTCGGGTGTGACGTCTTGTACTCAGGCCCCAGCCGCTGTGCCTCTTTTCTTGAAATCTGGGCACTAACGGTCTGTTCCTTCTTTCCCCTCTAGAACGAGACCAAAAGTTCAATACAATGGCTATGCCGGACACGAAAACAGCAATGGACAAGCTTCATTTGAAAACCCTATGTATGATACAAACTTAAAACCCACAGAGGCAAAGGCTGTGCGCTTTGACACAACTCTGAACACAGTGTGCACAGTGGTATAGCCCTCAGTGCCCCATTAGGACTGATTCATAGCCATACCTCTGTTGGACAAGCAGTAACTCCTTTGGTGCCATATACCACTCTCCCTTCTAGTCTTGGCTTTGCTGCGGTGATCTTTCACATCTTCTGCTGGCGTCCGTGCGGCGGGAATCTCCAGTCACGTGCGCCAGAGTCTCCTGAGGATCGGGTGACACAGAGACCTGCATTCTGAACGTGGATTCTCCATGCCTGGCTTCATCTGCTCGGGATCAAGGCACACTCAAGGAAGACTGCCGAGTCACGCCAATACTTTGTACTTAATGCCTCAGACTTTCGTATTTCTGTGTGGCTGGGATGCCTTTCAATGCAATCTTCTGGGCACGTGGATACATCCCCTGGGTGCGGTGATAAAATGATAGCACCACAATATGTTGTTTTGTTTTTTTAACCCCCATAAATATGAATACTCTGAAAAACAACAACAACAACAACAACAACAACAACAGAGCTCTCTTGAAGAAACCTTTCTGGTAGAGATGCACACACCTACAAACGCTTCACTCTGTCCTTCCTGAGACCTGACAAGCTTTGAGGACTCACGGCTCCCCTCGGTGTCCATTCCTAGGGCCATTTGCAAATTTCCCAGTCAGCCGTTCTATTGCAGAATTTTTGATGCACAATTTTTTGCACTAGTGTGTTATGAATGACTGAGTAAGATTCTGATAAAAAAAATAAACTATTTACACAGGGTTTATACACACTATCCATTGTATATAAGCATCTTCTCATGCTGTCCAGCGAAACATCCACCATCCATCCGTTCAGTTGGCATCTTAGCAAAAGAAAACATCCCCAGATATGGCACAGGTTTTAAAGGGAAACGTGGTGTTGAAGAGATTTATTTTATCATTGCTTCTTTTAGCTGCATATGTGTGTTGAAGTCATTGACGATGTCGAGAGAGGGGGGAAACACCAGAGGGCTTTGCAGTTGCCGCACACTCTGTTCCCTTTAGCAGCACCCGTGACCGCCAGTACTGCTGTATTGCGTGGCCAGGGGGCTGCTGAGCTTCTCTTTGCCGTGGAGAATGTCAGTAGTAATTTATTTTAGATAGCTCATGAGCTTGTGAGGCTTGGCTCACTGTAGTCTTCCCTCCGCATCACAGTTTGTTCTTCCAGAGCACCGCCACTCTCCGCCGTGGCATTGAAGGACAGTGCTGTGCAGTCGCCCCTTGAACTCAGTGGGAACCGTCCGGGAGCAGAGCATCAGATGTCCCTCCAGAGGCCAGGAAACATTACACACGCTCCTCTTTCCCGGTGACACATTTTACACATCACTGTGTCCTTCGTTTCGTGCTAGTTCCAGATGCAAAGACAACTGGATTTTTCACGTTTAAAATTTCTCATACATTAAATTCTGAATGATGGTAGGAAGGAAATGGGTGTGGTCCCCAGTGCGGATAAAAACATCAAAGGATGAAATAGAAGACATGGCAATGAGATGGTGATGTCACAAAACCACAGTGAAGACCGAGTTTATTTTTATTTATAACTGTTGGCTAAAAGCGTTTTGAAAAGGCAGTGCTTATTTTGTTATTTGCATTTTAAGTACGTACCCCCCATATGGAAAACGTCTCCCTTCTCACATTCCAGAGCAGCGTCTGTAGAGCGTTTCATTCCTGTTGTTGTGGGCGTATTCACACCTAGCTTTAAGGCCGATATAGTGGTGTCTCTGTTGCATGTTTAAATGCAGGGCTTCAAAAGTGAAAAAAAAAAAAAAAAAAAAAAAAAAAAAAAAAAGGAAAAAAAAAGACACAAAAACCTGTCAGGATAATAGTTCATTCTTTCATGTCATGTGTTTTGATTTGAACGCTTTAGCGGATATTTGATCCTTGGTGCCCACTGTCGCGTTGCTCGTTTGAAGGGTCCTATGCTGTTAGGAGGACATAACTGACCTCTTCTAGTTGCTTCTTTGCCTTTTGAACTCCAAATGACGAATTCCTTAGTATCACGCTTAATTCCCAGCACCTTTTCCTCTGGCCAACCTGATAACGTGACTGGAGATTTGCTTTGCAGCCTGGGGCCCTTACGCGGATTTTTCTCCTTAGACTAGACAAGGTCAGCCAGAGCCAGGCTCCTAACACGCACACTGACCGGGCACGGAAAGGGAGCGTGAGGAAGTTCCAGGATCGCTGTGTGCAGGGGAGAACAGGGTTACTATATATATTAGGTGTATATATATACATACATATATACATATAAATATATTGTACATATATCTAAGTTTGAGTCATTCAAACTAGGTGCAAAATGCTGACTTCAGAGTCTGAATCAATGTCTCTCTCCCCCCATCCCTGACCTGCTTGCCGGTCAATGACGTTACAAATTCCTGAAACGACAGGACATACATACACGCGGCAACCACATATCAGATATTAGATATCATTTTCCTTTGTGTGCACAGTAAACCCGACCTTTGGTTGCCACTTTGGAGCATGTTATTAAACCCCAAATACAACATGCGATGGTCCTGCGAGAAGTCCGCCGAGTTTCTTCCTAGGGTGTGTGCGCGGTATTGAACCAGATCCCCTGCAAGGTGTGGAGGCGCGCGTGCAGGTGGGCCGCACATGCGCCTTCCGCCGTGGGGCTGCAAGACTCCTTCTGGAAGCGCCCAGAACCGTGTGCGGGAAGGACCCCATGCTAACACAGGTTATGTGCTTCAGAGCTGTTTAAAACTGCTGCTCGTATCACACATCTTGCCTTTCTTCAGGCTAGCTGCAATAATTTTTTTCTTCTGTAAGATATTTTGTAAACAACAACAACAAAAAGCTATTATAAAAAAAAAAGGGGGACAGAACGCTGGTATCACGATCAGGAAACCCATCGCACCTCTGCCCGCCCCGTGTTACCATCTCGCCACATGCTGCTGACATGAAGTAGGTGCAAACGACCTTTTTGTACAGAGATATATTTTTTATGAAGAATTTGTAAAATTATTAAATATGCTGTAATTTTTTGATTAATGTAGGTAAATTGTTAAAAAAAATAAATGTTTTTACAAATACAGAACTGTAATTTTCCCAATAATGTACAATGTACCACCCCTAGCTGATTTTCAGTTCCGACCCTATTACACATGTATTAATATTAAAGTGGCCTGTTAAAATGAACAGCATCTTTCTTTTTTGTCAAAAACATTATAAAGAGAGTGTAATATAGCCTGTGCAATGCCACCTACCTTTAAAGCAAATCAGAGTTCTAATTAAATATTTAATTTTAGATTTCTAGTTTTTGGTGTGACTTTGTTTTAGCCTCGTATGTGCACGAATTTATTTCACCATAACAGGTGCGCGGAGTCTGTGTCAGGGGAGGAAAAGAGTGAAAGCGTTCGTAAGGGGCTCTCACTGCACTTAGAACCGGGCTCAGTGTTTCCCCCCAGACGTTGGCATCGCGGGCGTGATGAACAAACAGCACGCTTGTGAGTGAGCATGATTCGGAGGGTGGCAGGGGGCAGCTGACGTATTTCTCCTGGTCTGCCTAAACCCCGTGAGAGGAGTTCTTTCTGTAGAGCTCTATGGTGTGGGAACATGACACGTAAGGACTTGAGGGACTCATTTAACAAAGCTTTTCAAATATCACACTTGAAGAAGGCTCAAAAATTTCCCCCCCTCAGCCTTTAAAATTCAAGGCCAGCTGCGGCCCACTCATTTTGGAGCTGAGAGAAAACACAACACTTTACAACTCCTCGGTGGCCCATCAAGCTGAACGTCCTGCAGTTAAACGGAATGATATACTAATTTTCCTGGGAGTCAAGTTATTACAAAATGAAAAACAACCAATAATAATAAAAAAAAAAAAATAGCCCCACCGTGACTTCTAAGAAACCAGAGTTTTGATATCTCACTTAGACTCTGGATCTCTTTGGGTCCACGGGTGTTTTTGGGGCCTGTTATGCACCAGACTTTTTTCCTTCCACACGACCTGCCTAACTTCAGATAGTCCTCCGAATACAGCAAAGTTGGTGTAAATTTTCATGTTATAGATGACGACACAGAAGTTCCAAGAGGCTGGTCAATTTGCCCAAGGATGCACAGCTAGACAGGGTGACAGTAGAGATCAGTTTTCTCCTCACCTTCTTGTTTTCCCTAAAACTACATTATTAACTTCATCAGGATTTTCTTTTTCTGCAATGAAAAAAAAAGTTCTCATTTTCATTGTAAATGATTCTGTTTGGTCCTCACTGTGTTAAAAATTGCCCCAAGTTAAAAATTCCAAGAGGTATAACTACTCCACAATATGAGTGTTAATATCTCCCAGAATTGCTCACGCATAATCTGCCCTGAAGAAGTTTTTAAGAAATTAAACTGGAATTCAAGAGCCCTGAAGTCATCCTGTGGTTGTAACACAGTCTAACACGCTGAAATCAAACAAGAACTTTATTTTTTTGTAATTTTTTTAAAGTTTATTTATTTATTTTGAGAGAGAGAGAGGCAGAGAGAGAATCCCAAGCAGGCTCGCCATAGTCAGTGCTGAGCCCGATGTGGGGCTCAAATTCACAGAACCATGAGATTGTGATCTGAGCCGATATCAAGAGTTTGTTGCTTAACTGACTGAGGCACCCAGGCGCCCCCATGTGAGAACTTTAATCTGAGCTGACTTTTCTACTTGTGCATCTTGAAAACTGACTAGGAGGGGCGCCTGGGTGGCTCAGTCGGTTGAACGGCTGACTTCGGCTCTGGTCATGATCTCTCGAGGTTGACGAGTTCAAGCCCTGCATCGGGCTCTGTGCTGACAGCTTAGCAGAGCCTGGATCCTGCTTCAGATTCTGTGTCTCCCTCTCTCTCTGTCTCTCCTCTGCTTGTACTGTCTCTCACTGTCTCTCTCAAAAATAAATAAAACATTAAAAAAATTAAGAAAAAAGAAAACTGACTAGGAATTACTACGTCGTCTCCAAAATCTGTCTCCAGTGTCTGGCGTACTTATCATGTGGCAAGCGTTCTGCACGGAGTAGGTCCTCAGGTGGCTA